CATGAATTTCTTCTTCTGTCATTTGTCTTTAAATCCAAATCCAAATCGAAACCAAAGAATATTTCTTTGCTCATGGCTGTGGGACTTTGTTTATTACATTGCGCTTTTAATTGATTTTCAGTTGATTCCCCTTTTGATTATTTTATTTTATTTTATTTTGTGGCTTTTGCAGGGCGGTTTAAAGTTTCAACGAACTAAACACGAATGCAAGAAAAAGTAGAACAAGGAGCAAATGCACGACTGGCAGATACCCTGACTACTGTAGAGCTGCATGTTAGACATAAGATACACAAGCACAAACATGTGCACGAGCAGCGCTAACTGTGCTCTATGCGCTTGCTTCTCCCTCAGCTTCTGAGATTGGAAAACAGACTCAGTGAACTTGGCTTTTAGTTGTATGATCTTAATGATATTTTCAGAGCATTATTATGCCACCTAACTGTATGTGTACACCAAAGACCAAGTTGCTGCTATGAAAAATACTTGTATTTCGGAACACATATTGGCAGATATAACAATCTATGAACGTATCGTAAACTAAGTATACATCACGGACTTAAACTGCAAAATGGAAAACTCTGACTGTAAGAGTCTTCAATTAATACCTAAAAAAGCAAGGGAAATATCGATACTTATCGATATTAATATAGTGGAAGCAGATATAGAAAATAAATGATTAACATATGCTGCATAGAAGAATATCTCTGTCAAGTTTAAGGCTTTAGCTTTTGTAGTTCAGACGAACAGACGGACATATGGAGACGGATAGTTATATAAAGCTAGTTAGCTCGAGTTGCCGATGAAGCATAAGACATATAGATCTGTATGCTTCAACGTTTTAGACATTTTCACTGTGTTCTAAGCTTCGGGTTTACTTTTGCAGCTACAAATAGATATGAATTATGGATTAGTTTCTGATAGGAAATCTGTAAGACAGAAAAGCTGCTAGTCTGACTTGCGAAAATGTCTTCAGTCTTTGCCTTTACACTTCAAGGGAGTTCTTTAGTTGTCAACTCTAAAGGGACAAATGAAATATGAAGTAAAAGACCGAAGACATTCGTCATAGAGATACAGATATTGACATGCTCGCACTTAAAGCTCTCTCAGACAACTTGAGTTGGTTGCATTTTTGAGAAGTTTACTCAATTTTACAAAGCTGAAAGCAAAGCAAATTGTGCTTTTGCTGGCTTAAATGTATAAATTATATGTTTTCCAGTCCTGTGGTGACTGAAAGTTAGGTTGAGAGGCGACTGTGCCTCTTATTGCTGGCCTCGGGCTCAGACAATGAAATAAGCCATTTAACGAGCAAATGACGGAGTGAATATTTATTTAAGCGGTTTACTGGAAGAACGCTTTTTAACCCTGCTTTTAATTGTTCTTTTTTGAATAATCGAAACAGTTAATTTTATTGGTTTTTCTTATTATATTCACTATTTTTAGTTTTACTTATATGACACCAATTTTTAGCATGTCCTATCAGTACGAGTTAAAACACGAGACTGATCTATATTTTTACAAATCATAGCCTCACCGGCGTAAGTAGAGTTGCTCTTGCCAGGGCTGTTCCTTAACATGTCTAGCACCCGATAATAAGTGTTGAATAATACCTTATATTAAGTGTTATAAGCTAACTAAGTGTTATAAGTTAACTACCCCCCCCTCAAGTGTAAGGTCGTCCTCGACCGACCCAATTCCAGCGACGACTCCTCGCAAGTGCTTCGCGGACTTCTTTGCGTCGATGATCCACCAAAGAGTGAGGCCAATGCAGATTAAAGCACAGCATATGGCTCCTCTTTCGGAGTGCCGTACAACGGCACATCATCAAAGTGCACCATTTCGGTTCCTTGGTCGCATATTAGCAGCGGTGACCAGCGAGTCGGTGCAGGTGTTCTCGAATGAAATCCGCAAGTCGTTCTCATTCACATTCAATACGGAGCAGTATGAGCAGCGTACTGATTCTTCGCTATCGCCGTTCAGCAGGCGCTTACTAAGCTTGCTCTTGCGCCTACGTATGTGGCGTCTGTTGAAGCTGTTGGTGCCCGACGTGGACGTGAGCCTTGGCATCGGATGATGCACACCAAAGTTGTGCAGCCGCAGCGACTTGAGTGTGGCTGGCGCCGTCGATGACTGGCCGTGCACGTGCCCGTGATGGCCGTGATGACTGTGTCCCACCACTCCAGCGATGCTATGAGCCGTTACTGGACGAGTGATGTGTGTAGTCTGTCGGCGCGCTCAGCTGGCGATTGAATTCGGCCTTGCGGCGCGTCAAGTCCGTCAGGCAGTATTTGTTCAGATGGCCGTTGCTGGAGACAGGGCTCTTGGGCGATGATGCCAGATGCTGCGTATAGGCCGAAGGAGTTGCTGCTCACGCTTAGCTTATTGCCGGCGTTGTGCAGCAGATTGTTACAGTTCTTGCCGCTGATCTTGGCTGCCAGCGACTGCGACACCGGCCGACTTTTTGCTAGGCGCCCTGTACTCCTTGTCGTCGCTCTCGCTGCGCACCGATGCTCGATACGCAGGAAATGTCTTCGTCTTGCTCTTCAGCGAGCCGTTCAGCAGTAGCTGCTGTTGCCGTGCGGCAACTGCCGACAATGCCGGCCGCTGCAGTTGACGTGACGCCGCTGTGAAACTTCTTGAATTAATGCAGTTGGCGGTGTTTTGGGGATTTCTTGACTTGGTTCTAGTATGGATGAAGAGTCGCTTGGCTCTGCCGCCGCGAAGAACTCGTTAGTTGTTGCTTCTACTGTTGGTGGTGGTGCCGTGAACAAGGGGATTTCCTCAACGATTCCGCTTGTAGATTTGCCTGCTGTGGTTCTGGCTTAGCATCCAACTGTGGTGCGAATAGAGCTGTTGCTGGTCCTTGTGAAAATATGGGCAAACTCTGTGATGTTGGGAATAATGGAACTTCCGAAACAGGTGCAGTTGACGGTGGTGCAAATAGTGTAACCTCCTGATTTTGATTTGAAGAGCTCTTTAGCTCTTCCCTCTGAGTCGGTGACTTAAAAAGGTTGTTGCTTGTATCTGGTGTAAGTCCTTGTGTTGCGTTAGTCGGACTGGAAAAGAGAGGAACCTCCTGAAGTGTATCGGCTAGTGCTGGTGCAAAAAGCGATGTAGTTGCTTCGTGAGTCTGAAAGAGGCCCGTCGATGCCTGTGGTGTAAACAGCGATGTTGCTGGCCCAGTTGGGGGTGGTGCAGCCGCAACAGAGGAACTTCCTGGCTTGGCGCTGGTGCAGCTGACGGAGCTGGCGCTGTAAATAGGGCAACTTCTGTAGGCTGTGCTCCAAAAGGATTAAAAATAGCAGCAGGTGCTGCGAAGGGTGCAAAGGGCGTGGCTGTTAAAGCTGTTTGCTGGCCAAAGCCTGTTGCGGGCACTGCAGTTTCCTGAGCTGTCAGTGGACTCTTGTAGAGTCTGGTACCCTTCTGCAGGCGGTACGAGGAGTGTGCAGGTCCTGCCGCTGGTGGTGGTGCTGCTACTGCCGCTGGTGGGGGAGTTGCTGCAGCCACTGATGGCGGTGCAAACGTTGGAGTACTCTCGATTAAACCAGGTGCTTGAGCAGCTGTCAGTGGCTGAGGGACAGTGGCTACTTGGGTGACTGTCGGAGTCTGAGCGTATGTCGCTGGCGGAGCAGTTGCCCCAGGCTGAGTAAATGTCGGTGGTACCGCGGCTGGCGTTGGCTGAACACCGGTTGATTGCCCAGAAACAGCTGGTGCTGGCGTAAAGAAGTTACCAACAGACGGAGCTGCAGCAACTACGGAAGGATTGATGTAACCACCTACAGTGGGTGGTGCTACAGTGGGCGAAAAATAATCAGCAGCAGCAGGCGGAGCTGCAGGCGTAAAAAAGTTTGCAGGCGGCTGCGGTACGGCAGCGCCGGATGTGCTTATGTCAAAGTAGCCACCAGAATCAGCTGGATTGTAGCTGGCTGGTGGGGGTGGCGCAGGTTCGTTGGTTCTGCCTGTGGCCGATTGCACTAGACCCGAAATATTCTGTAACACGCCAGTGGGCACTAGACTAGTGAGTGAGAAGAGACCACCGCTCTTGCGTTCCTCTTGAACGGCTGGTGGTGCAGGCTGCTCGAATGCTGCTGCTGCCGCCGCTGCCGATGGCTGTGTGGGATATGGCGGTGCTTGGAAGGGATCAACAGCTGGCACTGGCTGCTGTTGCTGCTCGGAGAGACCTGGTATGGGTGCGTATAGCTTCTTTCTGGCACTAATGCGATAAGTGTTCTGTCCGGCCCCACGTTGGGCGCCAATTATATGTTTTCCAGTCCTGTGGTGACTGAAAGTTAGGTTGAGAGGCGACTGTGCCTCTTATTGCTGGCCTCGGGCTCAGACAATGAAATAAGCCATTTAACGAGCAAATGACGGAGTGAATATTTATTTAAGCGGTTTACTGGAAAAACGCTTTTTAACCCTGCTTTTAATTGTTCTTTTTTGAATAATCGAAACAGTTAATTTTATTGGTTTTTCTTATTATATTCACTATTTTTAGTTTTACTTATATGACACCAATTTTTAGCATGTCCTATCAGTACGAGTTAAAACACGAGACTGATCTATATTTTTACAAATCATAGCCTCACCGGCGTAAGTAGAGTTGCTCTTGCCAGGGCTGTTCCTTAACATGTCTAGCACCCGATAATAAGTGTTGAATAATACCTTATATTAAGTGTTATAAGCTAACTAAGTGTTATAAGTTAACTTATACATGTATGAGAGCAGGTAACAGTCGGCGTCGCAGTCGGAGACGTGTGCTGCGTCTCCTTCAATTCTGGTTAGTGGCTGACGACTGCGACTGAGATTTCTTGTAGCTAAAAGCGTTTGTACTCAAAGGAGTTAAGTGAAGGGCTCACAAAAGTGCATCAAATCAGAGAGAGAGAGAGGCAGGGGGAGACAGAGAGAGAGAGAGGGATAGCTGTACTTTGTCTAGTGCTGCATTGGCTTTGGGAGCTTCTAGCACAAATTGCATTTTGGAACGCCGTAAGACAATATCAATGATATCAGAAATACGTCCTCTCGGCACACCTATAGATACTGGATAAGACTTGTCCCAGCTTAAAGGAAATTATTGTGCAACGCGACAGACGATTGCGGGCCATCTCAATGAACTCATTGTAGCGCAAGTTCCCGGACTGCTCATTGGCGAACACTGAGAAGATGATATCGATAACATGAGAGGAAAGTGGAGAGCGCACAACAACATCCGAAATGTGCTTGAACGTCGTTCGGGACAGGCCTGCACCGGTTAGAGAGTGAAAGGTGAGCGCAGTCTCAATGGTATGCAGATGCTGAATGAACTTGAAGAAGGCCACGAACTCTTCGAAAGTGACGCCCTGAGGGTTCTTCTGATACCGCCTATGGGTGCGCTCGAGTCTTTCTTTCTTCCGGCTCTTCGGCATTCTGGAGTAGTCGAGCAGCAGATTGGCAAAGCGTAGCTCGCTTATTTTGTGTGAGGGCTGATGATTTAAGGTGTCAGCTCTCTTCGAGCATTTCTTCTTCAGCATATTGAACTCGAGCTGGATAATGTCGTGGAAGAGCTGTCGCTTGAACTGCAGAAATTGGTTTAGGCTCAGCTTCTGGTCGAGCTTGGGACCGAATAAATAATACTTTACAGAGCTTGTGATCTTCAGGGAGGCATCGGGAATGCCAAATAACAGCAGGCTCATCTCATTCTTGTCGAGCATTTGCTTGCCTTGCTTATCAATCAGCTTGAAGCCCATCTCGAAATATTTCTCCGACATGACCACCAGGCTGCGCAGATAAAGGAAGTCCGCATACGTGACCATGCCATCTGGCCGGAGTTTATAGAATATGCTGTCCTTTGATACGCCCCGAACGTGGAGCTTGTGCAAATCGTCCTTTTCAATTGTGATATAGTGGTTGAGACCCAAGCCCTCCGGCTGGCTTAGGCCTGGCGACATCGAGCGCACAAAATCTTTGGCTGTCATATGAATAATCGATTTGCCGGCACTGCTCTTCACTTTGATCGTGGCAAAGTAGCAGAACATCTTCTTGCGCGACGAGTATGCGCGCAGCTGATTCTCATAGTCCCGTATGGTCGCAGAGCGAAAGTTGCAACGCTTTGGAGGAGACTTACGTAAGCTCTGCTGACTCTGGGCACTTAGCAACAGCGAGGCAGGCAACTTCTGCCCATGTGAGCCCATGTGTGCAAGGCTCTGCTGCCTCCAAGCCAATTGCTCATCTTGGACTGTCGACCAGTGCAGATAATCGGCCGTAATTAGGAGCATATAATACTTGAAGGAGTGTAGACGTTGCTTGGCGATATGCCAACTCCTGCCAGGTGCTGGCTTCCATCTCGACTTAAGGCTTGCGCTCGCTTGAAGCACCTTTCGTAGAAATAATTTCCATGAGTGTGCCATTCACTTACTACCAGCTCGGGCTTGTATTTGAACAATTTTGAATTTGACATCGATTTCGTAACAAGTTTCTATAAATGCTCTAATTTTCTGTTTGTTTGTGTTTGAGTGACATGATCAGGATATGTCTTTAGCACATTTGACTAGAGTATAGAAGTCAAAGAAACTATTGGAATCATATGATACGTTTGTCGTACATGCTGCCAAAAGGGTTTTCCTTGAGCTCATAGAGCTCATAGAACCTTAACGTCAAGGTGGAGGATATTTTCTTTCCATCTCCATCTCTTTCCCCTGATTTCTTCTATAGCACTTCTAGTGTACACAACAATCCAATAAACCGAGTTAACTGGAAAGACATTTCTATTTTTTAGGGCCTCGTTGGCACCCATGGCCTTCGCTTATCTGATTCCCCGTCGATTTCAGCTATGCATAACAATGCTGAAAATTAGCCAAGCTGAAAAGAATGGGAAAACGTCAAGCTCACATATATTGTTAAGACGTGCCAGGAACATTCGCACTTGTTTGTTTAGTTGATTGAAAACACATTGTGAACAGCCGGGATTTGCATGTTTTTTCTCTCTGAAATAAGCCTAAATGGACGGCTAATGGATGTGGCTTCAAGTGTTTGGCACACGTGCAGGTGAAGGGACACTATTCAGGAAGTTCAAAATTAATGAACTACAAAAGACGCTGATTTGCATATGCAAATCCACAATCACTTGCGCTGTGTCAAATAAGTTTCCTGAAGATGAGCCGAAGTAAAATGAAAGATTTGTCAACTGCAGCACGCCTAACTGACATGTGACAGTCTGAATCAGGTTTACTTGATGAATTTGCGGCTTTAGGGCGTGTGTGAAGCTGAGCTGGCTTTGTTTTCAGTCACTCAATTAACTAGAAAGTTGAATTACTTTGATGGCTGCCAGCACTGGGAGCGTGGAATGGATCGTGTCTGTGTGGGAGAGTCGGCATACCCTGTTCCAAAAGTGTAAAAAGGGTATATTCGTTTTGTTCAATACTTGTGAGCAAATCACTCTGTTATTTAGTGCAAGTCTGCTCCATATGAATCCAATCGCTTGTACGTTCGTCTGTCTATCCGCCTATCTGTTCGTACGTCCTGTGTCTATACGTCCGTCCGATCATATGAGTGTGCGGTCGTCCATCCTTCAGTCTTCCCGTCCTTCAGTCTTCCCGTCCTTCAGTCTTCCCGACCTTCAGTGTTCTCGTCCTTCAGTCTTCCCGTCCTTCTGCCTGTCTGCTCGTCATTCTGTCCTCCTGTCTGTCCGTCCGTTTGTCCGTGTGTCCAATCATCCGAATCTCCGTCTGTCGTCTCCCTTTCGACCCATTCCTCCGTCCATCCATCGACTTCACTATGAACTCAAATGTAATTGCATTAAGCAAAATACCCAAACCGATAAATATCGATATTCAACGCTTGCTTTGGGCATATATTCCAAGACACTCACCCAATTTAGTTTGCAGATTCGCAACCCTCTGCAGCTGCCTCAACATACAAACAGCAAAGTTGTCAAGGACCTGTTCATCGCTTTTCAGTTTGATTTGCTGTACTTTCATCTCATAAGCGTGCTCTGGCCACACACAGTCTTGAGTGTATAATCCTCGCATGACAAAAAATCATATACAAATATTTTTCTCTTACAAATTGCTTTGCTGTCTCGGATGGGCGTGTGCGGGGGCTGTTTGGGCTCTTTGTGTCTGGCATTGTTGACAGCTTAAGATTTTGATAAGTCATTGAAAAGTGTGTCTATAAGCACTCAAGTTTCCAAGTGGCATTTACTGAGCTGACAATAGACGACTTCTTCTGCGACAGTTGATGTCTTTAGCCAATCGACACTCCAAGCTCGATGGCTCTGTGATGTCCACTTGCTTTCACCCTTTGGTGCTTTTTTAATTTGCTTGAATATTAATGCAAAGAGAATTATTGAAATTCGAGTGGACTTCAAAGAGCCAAAGCCGATTGCACAAAATTGAATTAAAAGACAATGTGAAAAGCGAACGGCTTCTGGGGCGAGCGAGCACAAAGCGTGATTTATGTGACTTATGTGCTGGCTTAGTCCCAGTCCAGCAGCAGCAGCAGCAGCAACAGTAGCAGCAGTAGCAGCTTGTTTGCCAAATCCTCCAAAAATTATACATATATATATAATCGACCCTTGCCGCGAACTTATCTAGAAACCAACCCCCAACAGCTTGTGCATATGAAACAAATATTGTTTGTTAAATGCGTTGTAAATATGTTTTTTTGCTGCTGTTGTTTGTAGACAGCAAAGTTATTCGCATAGGGGATCGCAGGATTTGCCATTGGCAACGATTTCATAAGACTCTGCAGATGTATATTGCTATTAGTATAAGAGAAGTTAAGGAAAACTCTCGAGGAAACTCTCTAAGCAGTCTTTTGGGGCGGAGCGAATTCGAAAAGCTTTGTGGATCTGAGTAGCTTTTGGGATCAAGAGGAGATACGTTTGTCATAGATATTAACTAGCTCAAGTAAAGAGATGAAAGTTCATGTAAAGATCTGAGCAGCATTGTGCATTTGAGTAGGAACAAGAGAAAAGTATTTGCATAGATATTACAATTAACCATATAGACTTTAGTATTTGTATACAATATATAGGAAAAGTTTTATATATCTAAGTGGTTTGTGGCGTGTGGAGGGTGGGAGATATCAGTTATATACAATAAATATGTATATAGATGGCAACTGCTTTGGGAGTCAAGAGTAAGGGCATAGGAAAGGTTGTATATAGACCTCATAAGCAGCAGTTGGGAAAAGCTTTGTGGATCTGAAAAACTTGTTGAGTCTCGAGCAAGATATGGAAGACTTAAGATATATGAACATTTTCTTATTATAGGAACTAAATATATATATAGATCTCTTATTATAATATTATTATAATAGATTACTTTAGAGTCATAAGGAATTCCTTAGGGCTTTCATAGATATCAACCCTTAGCAGAAAGTTATCAGTTCATATATTACTAGAGAAAGGCAGGGAGAGAGTCTTAAAGAGATACTAGATTTAAATTAAAGTTATCTCAACTTTAATTTAAATCTAGCATCAGGTATATCAGGTTTTTTAAAGCTATTTTGAGTCGTTATATGAAAAGCTTTCTTGTATACAGAGCAAATTGAGAAAAGTTATAAACACTGATCAGATGATTGCTGAGTAGATGAATGCTTTGCAGATAGAAGATGTAGATGTTCAATTAGCTTTACGGAAATTGATCTATCACATGCCTAAATTATGAAAATCTTTGTAGACTAGAGCAGTCCTTGAGGTCAGGGCGTATGACAGACAGTATTCATGCAGCTATATACAAGAGAGTAGTAGGGCTTAGTCAGCAGCTACTTTGGACAGTTTGCTCATTTATTACGCTTCACTCTTCACTCTCAGTATTTTTGCAGCGCATCTGCAAGTCGTCTAGCTGTAACATCTATAGAAAGCTCTTTTTCAGGCATCTTTCAAGCGCAAAATTTGTTGCTTCAATGGACACTGCTGGTAAGCGAAGTCAGTTGGGCTCGTGGTAATAATTCTAGATTTATGAAAATTGTTTTCCCGTTAATGTTTACTATGTTTTCGACATTTTTATTGTTGTTGGTCTGGGCTGGGTTCGGCTCGCTGGCTGCTGGCTGCTGGCTGCGGGCTGCGGGTTGCTGGCAGCTGGCATGGCGCGGAGGGCAGCATTCGCACGCCGAAAATAAGCAAAGTGAATTGAATTTTTGGCCGCAGCAAGAGCTAAAAACAAGTGAGTCCCTTGCAGGCGGCTGTGACTGACTGCACAATGCTCGTGCGCTAAGAAGTCGAGAGTCCAGTTCGAGTCTCTGGCAGGCGCTAGAAGCCAATATACCCCACTCACTTTGCGAACAGCGCATGGAAAATGTGTGCAGCAGCACTCAGCACACCACGAAATTTGAAAATCAGAAAAAGCTGACCTTATATTTTGGGCATGTGTGTGTGTGTGCCGCAGTACTCCTGCGAGAGTGAAATGTATTTGAAACATTTGGCTCATTGCTCAACTGTAATACGAAACTTTTGGGTTTGAGTTGAGCTTTGGTTTCTTGAAAGGGTTGCGCTATTTGATTAAATTTCTGCATTGCACGCATAAATCGTCAGCTCCCAGCGGCGCTGAGTAGGCCAAGTTTTTGAGTTTATGGCGCGTGAGCAGTTAAATCGAGGCGAGACGAGACGAGTGCCATTGACGCTAAGCGACTTGGCCCCGTTTCCTAGCTGCAAGCGTGCAGCAGCATCGACTCTGCACTCAAATACCCATTGATGAATGACTTAGAGACGGGCGCCATAAATAACTGCAGACTCAGCCTAGAGCTGGAGTTAATGATGTATGGAGCGAGCTATTCGAATTACAAATTCAAAAACATTCGATCTAGCTCTGAGCTAGTGAATCCTCTTGGCCTTGTTGTCAGAGCCATTCAAATGGGCAGCAGCTGGTGTCTGATATCAAAAACAAGACTGACCTTAGAATCTTGACACTTTTGCAAGATTCGAACTCGACACGAGCTCTAAATGTATGAGCTAATTGTCCTTCAAATATTTCAAATTTAAAATTTAAAATTTTGCCAAAATAAATTTTCATTCAGAAATTGAATTATTTTTCATTTGATTTTAGATTGCAGAACCTTTTCGGCAGAATATGTATTAAGAGATTCAATTTACATTTAAAACTTTTTCAAGATTTCTCAAATTTTTCAATCTACTTTCTATGCTTGAACCTAACATGAGTCTAACTCAGTTATTCATTCATTGGGTACACACAAATTTTCATAATTAATTGGAGTCGATTTTAAGCCAACTGAACTGAAAGAAATTTATATAAAAATAAAACTAAGTTGCATGAGT